TTATAAAAAGTTTTATTAGTAACATCTTTCAATTTTTTATAAAAATTTTAATCAGACATGCAAATCATATGACAAATTATCTACATCGAACTCTACCCTTAATAACCTGTTTACTTGTTATAATAACAGTATTAAAAGATTAAAAAATCTTTATTTTCAAGAAATTATAAAAAAAATTTCTTATACTACTAAAGGCTAAAGAAAAAAAAATGCAAATTAATATAATCAGTCAACAGATTAAAACAGAAAAACATTGCAAAGAAATTAAAAACTAACCCAATCATTTTATAAAAAGTATATCAAAAATTTAATTTAAATAATATTTTGGGTTTTGTAATTTATTGCTATAGTAATGTATTATTACTCTCAGGTCTATATCAAAACTCTAAAAAAAAAAACTTAAAATTTTAAATTTTAAAGGTCAAAATCCTAAAGTTTAATTTTTATGTTATGTAATGTTGGAAGTTTAATATTTAAACCAGCTTATAATCAGTAATATATTACTAATCATAAAGAGGTTTGAATATTGAAACTCTGATATCAGATAACATCATTATAACAGTAAATTATAAAATCTTACTATTTTAATTTTTATTTAGTTTTCAATTTTTAATAATATTAAATATTAGAAAACATCAAATGGAACCACCCAACAACATTACTAATGAAAAATTAGAAAATGTGGCTAAAAGGAAACGATGACATTTGACAAAATCAGAACAAGAAATTTTTACAAGACTGATTGAACTCAATGAATTATTAGCAGAAGAAACGTCAAGAAAACTTGTAGAAATTTGTACTTTACCAGATACTAAGCCAGAATATTGGGATTTAAAAAGAATTCAAAGTGTTTGGAATCGAAAAAAATCTGCAAAAAAAAAAGCAAAATCTCAATTTAAGCAATAACGTGATTAGTTAAAATTTTAAAAATGATAAATATCCAATACCTTTGATTTTAGCAAAGGATCTTGTAATATTTCTAATTTTTTTAACTAGAAGACAATGTCCTGTAATAAAGAAAACATTATTCTTATGAAATCATTAAATGTCAACTAAATGTTACTTTGAAACATAATTAATTAAGTTTGTATATAATTTATTAGAGTTTCGATTTAATTTATAAAAAATAATTAAAAGGTAATCGATATATTTTACTTGTTGATCACTATTTAATTTGTTATCGTAGGACATGTCCAGTGACCGATATGTTATTCAAAATTATAAATATTTACTATATATATTTGACTTTTAATTATACGGGCTGCTGTCAATAGAAATCAAGCAGATTGAAATTTTAAAAAAATTTAATACCTTAAATTTCACTGCTCATATCTCGATGAATTTCGAGGCTTTTTCATGGCTGTATAGTCAAAAGAAAGCCTAGATATTAAGCTTTCATTTGAATATTCATTCATAAGAAGATCTTCGAAAGGCATTAATTTTTTTAAAAATGTCAATCTGCTTGATTTCTCTTGACGGCAGCCTATATATTTTAATATCGTGAGTATAAAAATGACCAGGTACAAGATCCGGGTATGTTACCTTCCACCAATTTTAAAACCTTTAATAGACTGGGTATAGCGATAGTACATGGCTGAGAGTTAATATCAATTAGTATAAAATTTTGAAATGTATATACACTTTGCGTTTATAACAGGTAATCTAGATTTTTAAAAAGAATCATGTTTAATTAAAGATCCTGCGATTTACGCCCGGTATAGTACATAGTGGGTCTACTATCGAAGGAGGTGTTTTATCCGGGCATTTGCGGTATATACTGTATTTAAGATAAACTATTCAATTTCAAATATACTGTATTTGCTATTTAATTCTAATTAGATTGTAAGTATTTATTAATGTTGACTTGATTCAAGTAAATTCGAGTTGACTCAACTTGACTCAAAGTGAGTCGACTTGACTCAAATTTGAGCGAGCGATTCATTGGGTTGTGACCATCCCTAATTATAACTGAATAAATTATGACAAATCATGTAGGTTATCTAGGGTTTTTGACGCCGGATACATGTTTTTAAAAACTCTATTGTTATTGAATACATTTATATCATGTGATTTGGTGATCCATTAATCCAATCAATCGCAAGATTTAATTAGAGCTCTTTTTGAGTCATAATCTAATGATCGGAGATCAAAATACCAAAATTATTCGGTTCCGATACGTTCCCAAGATACACGATTAACTACTTTTGTATAAGTTACGTTAATAGCTATTTAATATCGATGATACGTATGTACGTATACGAAAAAAATCAATAGCCATTCACTATATAACGATAAAGACAACGGTAAAAGATCTATATTAGTAACGTAACCTAAACGTGATATATAAAAAATCTATATTAGTAATTGCATTACATAAAGATCAGATATTTTGAATCGGGCATTTAAATATAAATTTTTATTACAATCAAAAATATTTGATCTTAATATTATGTATAAATTCACTGTCCCAACAAATCTTACGTCCGCAGAACAAAGCAGTGATAAAATTAATGTGAATGGAACTCCTACCCAGGCTACCTTCGCCGTTAAGGCAGGCCTTGCACAAATGTTAAAGGTTTGATTCCTTTTATCTATTCGCGCTAACACGCAAGAAAGAAGTGACTTATGATTTAATTATATATAATATAATAAAAGGGAGGAGTCATTATGGATGTTGTCGATGCTGATCAAGCTAGAATTGCTGAGGAAGCTGGTGCAGTAGCTGTAATGGCATTGGAACGTGTTCCTGCCGATATCAGAAAAGAAGGTACACTGTCTTCTAATATTAATACATTGCCATTAGGCAGTTTCACGATAGTATTTTCTTTATATATTGGGTTATTTCATGACAATATATTTTTTCTTTTTTCTTTAGGTGGAGTGGCTCGTATGTCAGATCCAAAAATGATCAAAGAGATCAAAAACGCAGTGACCATTCCAGTAATGGCCAAAGTAAGAATTGGTCATTTTGTCGAAGCACAGGTAAAAAAAAAAACACAATATTAACACGTAGTTACAATTAATAATAGTATGAATTTACTAAAATTTAATAAATTTCTAGATTATTGAACATATTGGCATAGATTATATTGACGAGTCAGAGGTACTCACTCCCGCAGACGAACAGCATCACATAAACAAACATAATTTTAAAATTCCATTCGTATGCGGAGCCAAAAATTTAGGGGAAGCACTTCGTCGTATTGCTGAGGGAGCAGCCATGATACGCACAAAAGGGGAAGCAGGTACTGGAAATGTTGTGGAGGCAGTTCGTCACATGCGAACTATTACTGGTGAAATCAGAAGAGCTTCTGCAATGAATGAAGAAGAGTTATTCAGTTACGCCAAAGAACTACAAGCACCATACCATTTATTAAAGGAGACAGCAAAATTGAAAAGACTTCCGGTTGTAAATTTCTCGGCAGGTGGCCTAGCAACGTAAGTTAAAATTGATATATCTTTTTTGAGAAGGCCTTGAACCATAAAAAAAAATTTAAATGTCTTTGTTATATATTCAGGCCGGCAGATGCTGCGATGATGATGCAACTGGGATGTGATGGAGTTTTTGTCGGTTCAGGAATATTTAAATCTGGAGACCCAGTAAAACGAGCCAAGGCTATTGTTCAAGCGGTTACACATTATAATGACTCAAAAATTTTAGCAGAAGTATCAGAAGGGCTTGGAGAAGCGATGGTAGTTATTTAGGAATTTGACATAACATAATACGTTGATTTAAAAATTATTAAACAATATATATATTTCTATCATAACAGGTTGGAATCAACATTGATACCTTACACGATAATCAACTTATGTCAAAGAGGGGTTGGTAAAATCGATAATAAGAGCATCATGATCAATGGATACCCTTGTGTCAAGACAACCGGGGTTGCAGATCACTTCCGATCATACTCCGGATGCCAATCATCACCTAAGATTTTTATTGGTCGTTTCTCATGATAATCTTAATTACAAAGTTTTTGAATTAATATATTTTTTAATAAATTTAATATGAAGAGTACGTACGTAGAATCAATGTAAAGATCACCATCCCGCGATATATATATATATATCGCACTTCGATTATGATTGGTCAATCGTAAATCATTTTTTAGAATAAAAAGATGCCAATTTTTAACGATAGCATATAATAATAATAAAAAATTTTAAAATGTTTATGTCGTAAGTGGAAATAGAATTTAAGTACATTTGGAATTGCCTAATTAAATTAGGGTAGGGTTGGGTGTAGATGTTGTAAGTGGAAACGGAATTTAAGTTGGTTCTGAATTTTTATATAAAAGCAGCATTTTTGAGAGTTGATTTTATAATATGGACACCCGTACCCTAATCCTAGTTTAACTAGGAAATCCAAATACACTTAAATTCCGTTTCCATTTGCAACAGGTATAGAAAGTGCAATGAATCTTAAGAAAACCTAGTAATTTTCTATTGAGAACTTTTTTTTCTTCCAGAACCGTCAATTCGTTATAGAAAGAGTTGACCGTATATGATAAAATCACCCAAAATACTGGTTTTATATAAACATTCCGAATCCACTTTCACTTACAACATTTATATAAGATACATATCTCAAAATTTTATTAATAATCTTTTTGCTTCTAAGTAAAATATTTACATAAATTTAACATACACTAATTTTTATTTAATATATTCGATCATTATGAGTATTAATGAGAAAATCATCCCCATACAATATTTAGATTATACTTTACCAACGAGACTACCTTTTGTGTCTAAAAATTTTCTCGGAATTTTATGCTCTGGATTTTTTACAGGGGATCAAATTTCCGGGTCGGATCCATCGGATTTAGTCGGCATTTAAATACAAAACCATTTCTAGGCCAAAATTATTAATGAGTGGGCCATGACTTCATTAGCAAAGCTGTTAGTGATCTTGGGTAAAATTTGTTAATTCCGACCCTCCCGATCATGATTCCGAGGTATTCCAACCCGGATTTTGGTGACCCCTGTAGGAGTTATGTTCTGGACCTAACTTTGCTCACCCTAAACCTTTGGCGCCAATTTTTACGTTACACGATCTTCCATTTATCTGTTAACGTTAAGTATATATTTTTTTTATTAATCGTAAATTTTAATTACTTACAGTAGTGGCAAAGCTAACGTTTAACGTTCTTGAAGCTAACATATATATTTCTTGAAGCAAATTTTCTGAATCTAGAATATTAATAGTCGCTCATTTGTTCTTGAGACAAACGTTTGCTCGTTCTTAGGTAGTGACGTAAATTGGTAGTTACCAATGGAATCATGGTTATTTGGGAGAATCTCCATCACTATCAGGCCAACATTTACCTGTTCTTGAGCCCGGTTTAATATCAACAAAAAACATATATTAAAGAAAGTTTTACTCATGAAACTGCATTTCGTGCATAAACTTTAAAACCCCTACCCTAATTATTATGACTTTAAAATCTGCTTAACATTAATGAAGGGCGATTTGATATACGTATACTTAATAATCGATAAAAACTGGGTGCCTATGATCAATCTCTATGATAAAACTATATAATCAATCTCTTAATATAATACGTAGCATACATGTGAATTTACGCTAACGAGAGATTTTTATCAGCAAATTTCATGCATCATACCAGGAATTAGGAATCTGGGAACATGTCAATATATGATTGGTCAAAAATTATTTTATTGATTCTTTTAGCCAATCATACATTTGTATTTTTTTCTAGATTCTTGATTCCCGGTATGATGCATGAAATTTGATAAAAATACACTAGTCATATGTTTGTGTTACATATTTTATGGGATTGAGAAAGTCATTTGATATGTAAGGTAGATATGCCTAATTTGGCGTGAACTGTTGATCAGAATCACATGATCAAAATCTTTTGATTCTGATTAACGTAGTGTAGTGTTGGCACCAAATTAAGAACATATTTTTTAACCAAATTTTCAATAAACAATATCTTGTGGTCTAGTGATCAGAATCGAACGATTTTGGTACCATTCAATTCGTCTCGATAAGACGAATCGAATGGTACCAAAATTATCCAATTCTGATCAATATACCACATGATATAAATCGTACGTAATACTTATCTTCGCCGAAGTAGGCATATCTATACTTAATAAATAAAAGTTTAGTTATATCACATGATTACTTCATTTTTATATATAGGTTCAGATATTTCTGGAATCTAGACATTTTAGCATTAGCAGTACTGTATGCCAACGATCATGTAAAAAAAAAAGGTAGTGCCGATTGCGAGTGTTATTGGTCAAAAAATACGTATTCAATACTTTCCCAAGGTAGATAGAGTAACGGTGATTACCGAATCTTTCGGCAATGCTACTTCTATTATAAGTTATTTGACAGTAGTAGTAAATGATCTACATTTATGTGCAATCTATTCTATTTCTTATAATTCAGACTATCGCTATCACCAAAGTAAAATATAATTTCGTTGATCTGCAATCCGAATTATCCATTTAACATTCGAAGTTTTTATATTCTTGTGCAATCCTCCAATTCGTCAAAAAGCCACATAATCAAATTCGACTGGATTTGTTTTTTAATTCAGTAGTTTATAGAATAAAAAAACATGAGAAAAATTTTATCGAGTTTAGTTTGATTGTTTTCATTACAAAAAAAGTAATTACTATTCCGATTTCTTCATTTTTTATTTATTTTTAGATTAGACAAACTTTGCGCATTTATTATTTTTATAAGTATTCATCACTTTGTAATATATTTACAGAAATAGGAGTTATGCGCAAATTTTGTCTAATCTAAAAGTCAATGATTAACTTTTTTTAAAATTTCACATAATTTTGCAAACCGCTACGTATAATGCTATAAATATTTAGAAACGTTATCTAAGGTAGCAAAGTTTTAGTAAAAATTATATTAAATATGCCAGAGTTTAAATTTTTCAGCCCAAATCAGGTGATTTTTGGATTTAGCATTTACCAAACGACCTGATTGGCCGAAAAAATTGACCACAATTTTTTTCATAGAGCTGCTCTGATTGGCTAAAACTTAAAATCCGCATTTCGAACAATGAATTTTTAATAATTCGTTTTTTGATTAACCACAATAACCACTCAATTAATCGTAATGCTTTGAGCAAGATCTCGATCACTAGCAAATCACGTTGAGGGAGCTGCTTGAGAACACCCTAAGTCAATTGTAGATACTAAGATTTTTGAAAATGAAAGTATCTCAGTACTAATAAAACAGCCAATCAGATCGTCAATTAGTTATGATACGTATTACAATTGGATTTAGAATTATAGAAATCATATAATTCTATTACATACAGAAATGTCAAGTTTTTACGTTAATTAATCTGTTTAAAGGATATCCCATCCGTAATTGCTTTGTTCGACAGGTGGAAACGCGTAAATAGCGAAAATTCTCAAATAAAAATTTTTGTGTTAAAACTATAGATGCTGGTGAAATTCTTGGTGAATGATCTGCGGATTTTTTTTAGCCAATGAAATTTTAGTATAGATCATCACAAGACCGCGAATTTTATGCGGTTGCTATGTATAATGATACAGAAGAGTATTAATAATGAGTTGATTTCATAACAGGACCATTTATTCAGTCTACTTGATTAGTACTGGGATATTTTTCAAAAATGGTAGAATTTACAATTGAATAATATCCCGATTAGAGGCCTGCATTGGGTCCCGCAGCCGGGCCTGAAGCAAAATTTTATAATTGCGGGCCGGGCCGGGCCTAAAATTTTGCAAAATTATATAAGAAATTTTGCGGGCCGGGCCAGGCTGAAGAAAAAATTTAATAAATGCGGGACGGTCCGGCAAAAAAATTTTATCCCTAAATGCGGGCCGGGCCGGGCCTCAAAAATAGGCAATTTGCAGGCCCTAATCCCGATACTATTTAAAGGCGATATTTTTTTGAGAGAATAACTATATTCAGCACTATACGCATGTACTAATACACATGATATTAACATTGGCATAGTCGTTCAGTACAAAACAACATCCCACATGACATGTAAAGTTCAAATTGCAAAAGTAAATGTGAATGATATGGTACTACTTGGTTAAGGTTCAAATTACTCGGTTTTTGTTTGTTTAGGTGTCTCTCCAAAGTCTGATTCCAAATGTATTATCAATAAAATCGTCAAGATTGGTGATGATAACGGTGTTTTTTCTAGACCAGGATAGTTGGGATTTATCCTAGCTAAATTTTGTATAAAAGCGTTGTAGAACTGTAGGGTCTTTTGATATTATATTTACAATTAAGGAAATATGAAGGGTATGTGTAGTGATGTGCCACGTACTGTACTATACGTACTGTACTGTACGTACTGTACGTACTGTACGCTAAAATTTTGACAGTCATTTTATAAGTTCTGAAGTTTAGGCCATAACGTTTATAAGTTCCTAAATATTCCGGAACGATTACGGAATATTCCGAAACCATGGTATAAAAAAATCCTACTATACGTACTATACGTACTGTACGTACTGTACGTACTGTACGCTAAAAAAATCCGAGTATCATATAAATGGCACATCACTAATTATGACTACATTAATGTTCCCTCCATTACCGACTACGTTACTTACTTCGCCCTTTTCGTCAGAAAGGACTTTTCCTACATTTCGGACGATTCTGACTTTTCTAGCCGGGTCACCCATATTTGGTTAGCCGTGTCACATGGCACGTGACTTAGCCGGATAACAATATCAATAGTAAATGGATATCCGGATAAATTCAGATACGAATGAATTGCTTTTAGTAATTTTCAATTAAATCCATTAAATCTTAATACCCGAATCTTATACAATTTTTTTAAGAGAT